CAAGAGACTTGCTGTTAGGCTGTTATGCTACTTGGAATTAAAAATTACACAACCACACTAACTACCAAGCCCCACAACAGCTGTTATACAAGCAAAAGGCATAGAAATACAACCCTAAATATCATCAATGCACTTTGTGAATAGATTCATAGTTCAGAGTTACAGTCATTGTATGCAACAGTTATAGTGCAGTTTATTTGAAAGATAAGTTTTGAAACAGCATCTCATTTAACGGGACCATCACATCTCTAAAGGAGAAATGTTGGAGTTATTTAATACCAAAAAAAGAACAGAGATGTGTACCTGCCAATACGAAGATTGTTTTTGCCCTAAGGTTCTCATGGGTTAAGGACTCAGAGTGCCTGAAAAGCCTCACTAAATGAAAGCAGAGAAAATTTGTGACACTTAGCTTTTGACAATTAATTATCTTCATATACCTGCAGTAAAAAAAATACCTGAATTTCTCAGATAGCCAAATTTAACATACAGAGAGCTTCGACTCAGAGAAGAGAGTAATAAAAATGCTTAAGTGTAACAATTTGTGAAAATCTGATGTTTCAATTATAAAAATTTTCTTCTTGTAGTATCATATTTCTGACATCTTGGTCTATAGATTGGTAAATCATTTCTTTTCTCCCATCCTCAGTCAACAAGTATCTTTGCTGGTGGAGGGTCAATATTATCATTAAAATTGCCTGACATACACAAGAGGAATATCTGACAGCTCTGTCAAGTCTGAGGCATGCACAATATATGCCTGATGCCTGCTATTACTGCAGTTTCTAACCTAAGAAAGAGTTTCTTCCTTTCTCTTGAAGCCTGCTCACAAACACACAAAATCTCAACACAAGCCTGGCAATGGTCTCCTTGTCATAAAGGCCTATGCACCAACCTGTTCAGTCTGTACTCAAATTAAACTGTATTCCTGATCAGAGAACTTTTTCTAGTTGAAAGCTAGAAAGTTGGAACATAGGCTGGCTTCATCCCCATTCCTGTATCAAAATTAATTCAGAAAAGCATGGGTCCCAGCAGGGGCCCTGTGGGATTCAATCCAGCCCCATTTCTCCTCTTTGTAAGCATGTCAGTTTATCCTTAATCTTTGTTACTTTTCTTTTAGTCATGTATTAAACCATGTGATGGGACCTCCTTTTTATCCCATGACTGTTTAATTCCTTTAAGGACCTTTGGTAATGTGAATCACTATGTGGAAACCCAGGTCCACTGTATATCAGGCAGCATGCCCTTAGTCTGATTCTCATTAACTCCCCCAAAGGATGATAATGGATTTGTGAAGCATGTTTGCGCTCTAAAAAATGATGTGTTTACCAATTCTATTTTCTATGATCACTACCAATTTGTCTGTTACAGAAATCAATTTTACCGGTCAGTAGTTTTTCTGTTCTGCTCCTTAAACTTTTTTTTCCTTTTTAATAGCATCATATTTGCGACTTGCCATTTCTCCACTTTCAAGAGTGATTTCAGAAATTAGTAGTTTAGCAGTCTCATATTTTAGCTTCTTTAGAATGCTTGGTTTAATGCTACCTGGTCCTTGAGATTTGCTACTGCTCATTTTATTGAATTGCTCTGAAAATCTCCTCTGTTGACAGTTCGATTTCTGAGTGCTCTTCAGGCTTGTACCTGTAAAGAATGGCTCAGGTGTGGAAACCTTCATGACCTCTTCTGAAGAGAACATTGATGCAAATAATTCATTTAGCTTTCTCACCACAGCGCTGCTTCCTGGAGTATCCTATTTGCACCTTAATCATCTCTCAGTCCATTGACTTTCCAAAAGGCTTCCTGTTTCTGAGAAACTTCTTATTAGTCACTTTTATGCCTGTAGGAAGTTGCTCTTCAAAATCTTTTTTTGGCTTGCCTCATTAGAGTTCTGTGTTCAACAGGATGAATTTAACTTGTCTTTTATTTTCCTCTTTTGGACAGGATTTCCACATTTAAACAGATGAGTATTTTACTTCTAACAGCCTTCTCTATTCTGTTGTTTTAACATGCTGCCTTTTAAGCATTTGATTATTTTCCTCTATTCTTCTATTTCTCTTCACTTTCAAGTTATTCTCCATTTTCATAGCTTTAACATGATCATCATTAACTTTTTCATATTTTTGGTACTGTTCAGATGATGTAAATACTTAAAGGTTGACACAGCACCCATTCACTGATCTGAGAAACTTTTTTCCCTGCTTTTGGGGTTTTGAGTTACTTGTTCCAACAACTAGCTATTTATTGACTCTTGGATTTGTACCTCCAACTCCGGGGACATTTCTACTACTGGAAGTGGGCTCAAATTTGAAATTTACTGTGTTGGAATTTTTCTTGGAAATAAAAATTGCTTTCCTGTATCTTTGACAAGGCAGTTGCAAAAAAAAGTAAAAAAAAAAAAATTAAAAAGGTTAAAATATTGTATGTCACTGTAAATCAGAACTTTCAAATCTAAATCATTAGGACAAGACACAAGGACAGTGGTGATTACCTAATATGTGGAAAATTGATAGCACTCATATCCTTAATCATCTACAATTATCTATGATGAGCAACAAATGAAGTAGACTGAATCTTGAAGGCAAGTCAGTCACTCTTAATAAGCCAATGCATTTAATGAATTCCCTTGTTTATCTCCTAGGTCCAGAAAGGGCTGTGAGGTTCATAATGATCTCTGCAGCAGCAAAGTGCTTTATCACCTGAACTGGCCAAATTTCATCTGGCTTAGCTCATCTCCTGTTGCTTAGGGATAATGTTTGCAAATTGGTGCCCTGGCAGGAGGAATGAGGTGGCCAGCACTGCTTCTGTCTGGAGGTCCTTGCACTTAGTGCAGAACCTGGGACAGAAGTCACACAGCCTCTCCTCCCCAGCACGTGGCTGGCAATATCCATTTGCACCATGCTGACTTCCCTCTTCATCCAGGGCTGGGAGGCTGAGCTTTGGATGCATCTCCATATTTCTCAGAGCACCAAATTCAAACGCAAGTAAATGCAAGCATGCTCAAGGGCAGCTGCTCATCTTGAACCTTCATAGCCAGATCAGTTCCCAACACACAGGACCCCTGACAGCAGCAGCTGGGGAAGGAAGTTTTCCCAAAATACTTAAGACTGCTTCTCATTGTGCTGCATTGAAGGGCCACTTTGAACTCTGTAACTATCACATTAGCAGTATTCCCATTGACTTAATCACCATGGTGTTACCACAGCTCCTTCAGGCCTTTCAAGGTGCCCTTAAAGGACCAGGTCTGACATGCCTTTCTGTAGCTCTGGCTGGTTCAGAGAAAAGTGTTGCACTTTTCCAGAGCTAAGAGATATGATCTCATAGATTTTTATGACCAGAAGAAAACAGAATGTTCATCTGTCACCCTCAAATACTATCCCTCTTAGCATCAGGCACAGATATGACCCTGACATTGAAGCTTATTAAGCTATGTTTATTCAGCTTATAATTTAAGTTATTTTCAAATCTTCTTCTCTACCAATGAGAAAAATTCTCAAGTCAAAACTCTTTTTCATTACATATTGCCTTATCAATATGTTTGGTTTTGGGGTGACAGGAAAGGTAACTCGGAATCTTGTATGTATAAATATTCATAGAGGTGAGAGGATTAAGCAGTTGGAGTATCGTTTGAAAGAAAATTTAGATCTCCTTTGCAAACATCATCATGGTGATAGAAAATCATTCTTTTCCCTGTAATAATCTACTTTAAAAACATCCTCTTTGCATTACTTCCAGCTATCAGAATCAGCTGGCAAAGCATAGCCTGAATTCTGATAAAGGGCAATTGCAGTAAATGGAGAAACAAGCATAAATTATACCACCAGTGAGCCCAAGAAAGAATTGCAGAGATAAGGGAAGATGAGCCTTACGAATAATTTCTTTTACCTTACATTCTCCTGGTAATAAAATAAAAATCATTAATTATAAATAATCATGTTTAAAAAGAACAAGTAATTGCTATGCCTTGTCCTTCCATCCTCATAGAAATTTCCCACCAGCCAGGAGCAGCAGTTGACTTCACACCAGCTCATCCACTGGACATATGACTGGATCTATCTCATGTGACTTTGGATCCCATTCAATTCCTAAAGTTCAGCTGTGTGTATCAGGAAAATCCCACCCTTTCTGCAAACAGTCTCACTTGAGGCTACTGAACTGTCTTCACAAACAAGGATCTGCACAATCACATTGTTAGTGGGTAAGCCACTGAACAAACTAGTATGGACAGCAGGGAAGTCACTGCATTCCCCAGAGCCAGCTGGGACTGCAGTTCCTGTACTTGGATCCATGCTTCCATGGTTTGTCTGTCCATTGACAGAAAGCATCTTTCATCAGTGGTCTCCACAGCACAAATCTTGCAAATCTTGTGCAAGCATTTTAAAAAGGGAGGCTTGGTGCATTTTTGTTTCTATGGGCGTGTTCATGGAGCCAAGAGTCATGATGCCAGCCAGCACAGACATCCTTGCACTAGAATTGAGGAAATCAGTTTGGGCAGTGGCAGCAGCGCAACGTGGTTCTGGGAGTTCGGGATAAATTGGACCGATCTGCCTGGAAATGGCAAGTGCATGCAGAGGTAGGTGCTATGTACTAAGAACCACATGCAGAGCATCCTTCTAGTGGCACCCCAAGGGCAGCAGTGTCTCTGCCCTTGCTGCAATGACACCTCTGATTTCAGTGTGGGCATTTTCTGCTGCTAGATACATCAGTGTGTTGAGACTGTGCTCCTCTAGGGACTTGATGCAATAGTAAATAAACATTTACCTATCAGTTTAAATAGGTAGTAATGGCCACTAATTATGTGAGTCAAATAAAATAAGTGGTATTTGAATTATTGACCTTTAATTTCTATAACTCAGGGATCATATATTTGCTACAATGTTCAAATATCAGTTGTTGCCACATGGCTAAACATGCTTTAATTTTTTAGCAAAGTTTATTATCATCTCTGAATTTTAACCTTATGATACAGGGCTGATGAGTGGGTGCTTTAGAGTGATTTTTTTTTTCTGTTTTTCTTTCAATTTTCCCAGGAGCCTGGTGTCTAGAAGAAGTTTTTTTATGAAAGAAGAGCAATTAAAATAATTATTTAAATAATTATAATAATATAAACAGTATAAAAATATGAAATTATATAAAATTTAATAAATATATATTTTAATATACATAAATTATGTTGTTGTTAAAATTATATAAAATATTAACATTAAATAAAAAAATCTATAAGCTATTTCATGGAACTTAAGGAAATTACTTATTTAAGGCACTGTGACTTTCAGCAACTAAAACTGCAGCTATTTTGCAGACATGAAATTCCTGCTGAGTAACAATTTACATCAACAAATTAATTTTATTTCAGAGTTGTTAACAACCTTGTCTATTAATTTATGTGTTCATTTAAAAACTACTAAATAGAAGAGCATTCCTGAATAAATTCTAATCTTACTTTTGGGGGTAAGTTGTCACTCAATATTTATTATAAAAAATACCACCAAAACTCCCACATTGTTTAAGGAAATAAAACCCAGACACTAGCATGATTGTAGAGAGGCTATTGACAGTCAGAACTAGGAGTGTTTTTTGCATTTCTGTCACCTGCATCAGCGTAAGTGCTTTCAGTTTTACCAGGTGGGCTGCCTTTGATTAGATAGAGGTCCAGCTCTTTGCCCAGTGGAGCCTTTGAGCAGGATAGCAATGCCAGTGGTATTGCCATAATTCTAAGATCAGTCACTTAATCCCCTTGGGAACTCTAGTAAAGATCCCCCACAATGTAATGCTCTATTCCCCTCCATATATTATAAACAGTTATTCAAGGGGTAGCACATCTTATTTTTTATGCTTTCTAGCTTACCTAGGTTTAGGTATTCACAGTACGAATGGCCAAACTTCTGTCAAGTTCAGGAGCCCAATGAGAGCTGTGTGAAGGACAGAGAAATACCAGAAATCTGCAGTTTTGGCTGCTTTTTCAATTGCTGTCATTCACATGCACTTCCACATCTCTAAAGCAGAAGCATCTAAAAGGTGGGAAAGTAGATCTTCAGGGAGAAAAGAATATAAGCCTTGGTTTAGCTCTGTCTGTGAATACAAATTTCATCTGTATGCACATAAACAGTAGAAAAGACTTTATTTTGAGAGCTAGATTAACAACTGGAAGAATGCTCCTTCAAAGACAGAACCATTACAAGGAGATACATGACCTTAAAATTTAGACAATTTAGAAAAAGTATCTTTCCATTTAATGAACAGCTGGTTGAATCAGAGAAGTATAGTAAATTTTCTTGGAAATGGATTTATAACTACTAATATTTTCATGCTAGCAGTATCTTCAAGCAAATGCGATGTGTTTTATGATGTATTGTTGTTTTATACACACATTTAATTCTTGTTATTCCTTGAAAATGAAAAAACCACAGTAAATAAGAACAAAAAATGTGGAGTGTAAAAATACTGGATTTATCTGAAATCCTAGTAATAATATGTCAGAAGATTAAAATTTAAAAATAAAAAGCCTTAAAGTGTAAACCTCTACTCAGTAAAGACACTGACTGAATGTAATAAACCATCTGAAAGCAGAACACTGAATTTGCATCCAGTCATTAACTGCCATACTTACATCTTTTGGGCAAATATAAAGCTCTCAAATACGACAAAAAATGGAAGTATTATGGCCTCACCATATAAAATAAAACCCCAGTGTAAGATAAAACATATTTCAATGACTGCAATTAATTGCAAAATAGAATAAATAACTATACAAATTCATCTGCATCAAATATCATAAAAAAAAGCCATTAACACACCAAAAGGAAACTGGCAGCTTGAAAACTTTATGACACTGAACAGACTGCAGTGGTGTGATTCTCACTTCATTTAAGACAATGATAAAGCTTTCATTAATTTCAGCTAGTGAGAACAGGAGTGTCAATAATTTTTCATTTAATATAATGTATTTTTCTTCTGCAATGCAAAAGAAATTTACAACTCTAAAAAGTCTGAATATACTGACATTTGGGCTGGTTTACATATGCTTTACATACTTACAGAAATGAGCAGAATAATTTATTATATCAGGCTTGCAATGTCAAACAACTCTTGCACTACAAAATCCCGTTATGTTCATCTTTTCCTCAGATCAAGAAAGTGCATTAAAAACCCTCATGTTCTTCTTGGGTGGCTTGAGCCTGTAAAGCTAATATAAAAAGAGATATGACTTAGGAGAAGCTATTTTGTACTGTTAGTTTATCAAGTCCAATCTTTATAACGAGTGAAACGCAATCTAAAGTCAGGGGCAGTGGCTATTTCTCATGTTTATACAATTCTTGTTTTGAAAATGTTGTGCATAACAAAAGTAGAATTTATGCTGAGAGCAACATCCAAATGAAGAAGGAGAAGTGGGCACCCAGTGTCTGAACTACTGGTGCCTGGCAGGTGGACAGTGGGGCAACCTTCTGCTCTGCACTTCAGTGACAATGACAGTGATGGAAAACCCAGGGCCATCACTGTCCCATGGTGGGAAAGAACCAACAGCTCCATCCCCACTGGAGGACAGAGTCACAGGCTGCCTGAAAGACCAGATAGGAGAGCATTTCTGTCCTGAGCAAAAGGCAGGGAGTGGTTAGTGACTCTAAAACACAAGGAGTCCCATCTCTTACCCAAAACCCTCTGCCCATTCATTGTGAGCTGGCACACTGGAATGAAGGCAGAGACATTCCACTTTTCTGTGCTAGCTCCAGAAACAGGGGCTGGCTCACCATGGGCTTCCTAGGGCTCATTCTGCCACTCTGTGCATGGAGATGCTCACTGAAATGAAGAAGACACAGCCTGCTTTTCCCTTCCCTCTTCTGCTTACCACCATTTCCAAAATATACCATCACTGGCTCCTTGCCTAGTCCTGCACTCAACCCCTCCGCAGGAGCGAGGGCTAGCAAGGATCTCCTGGGGGATAACTAGTGAACAGAAGAGGAGGAGATGCTATTTGGTGGATAGGAGTGAGGGAAGGGGCGCTTCATGAATTATTACTGTCTCCTGAACTGAGTTTAATTTAGCCCCTAGGACCATAAGCTGCTTTTGAGCTACTGCTAGGCAGTGCTCTCTGTTTGTATGTGTCAAACACATGGCCCCTTCCCAACAAGGGCCCCAGGCAGAGGTTGGTGAGACAGTTGGAGTGAGCTAGCGTTGGGGAGCTGTTGCATGCCAACAGATGGGCTGGAATGAACATCTTATGTCAGAGATTGCTCTCCAGAGGCTATTTCTAGCCTCTTCAGGCCTTTTGTGTTGCTGGAGGGCAACGGAGCTACAACATAACACAGAATTAGGCCTGCTAGTTCTGAATGAGGAAGGTGTTTCCAGCATTTGTGAAGCAAGTGCAAGTCAGCAATCTCAGCATTGGAATGATAATTGTCTTGCAATTTGACTAATTACCATGTGTGGCAATATAGGTGCGCTGTGACAGCATTTTTTAATGTATCTATTAGTGTGCAGCTATGCCACACAGCAACAAGACCTCATCTGTTTCACCAACTTCTTAGAGTTTGTGAATAAAGTTAAGCACATCCCTCAGTTCCTTGCTGAGTCAGGGAGAGATTAGTTACAGCATTAACTCAGCTCTACCAAGGTGCATCTTTATTCCTCAGGGACTCCTTTAGCTAGCACAGGAATTGCTTATTTCGAATTATCTCCTCCCCATCCCTGCTTACCGACTGGCGGACAGCTTTTGGCATTTATTGGTGCCCTGCGCCACCGAAATTATCATAAGGTCAGAGAATTCATTGAACCCGAGCAGCACTTAAGCACTGTTAGACTCATTTGTGGCTATTCAGACCAAACAAGTTTTTCAGAGGGAGGCTATTGGCTCCGGGTAAAAAATTAATGCAAAAAGCACAAAGAGAAAGCTAGGCTGTTTTAATAAGCTGTCTTGCTGCTATAGCAGGGATGGGTGGGAGATAATTCGAAATAAGCAGCTTGCTGTGCCAGCTAAAGGAGTCCCTGGGAAGCTGATAGGAGATAATCAAAAAGGAAACACCCGCGCTACCTTTTTTTTTTTTTTTTTTTTTTTTTTTTTTTCTTGCTTTTTTTTTTTTTTTTTTTTTTTTTTTTTTTTTCTTGTCTCAAGCACTAGGCTGCAACAGCCACCTTTTTAATTTCGGTATCTTGAGGGAAGCATGACACCGAGTTGTTAATAACTTCATCTGTCTGTGCTAACACAACCATTGCCTTTTTCACTATCCCAGCGGCAGCAGGAAATCAGTAAAAAATAAATAAATAAATAAATAAATAAACACAAAAAAAAAAAACAGCCTCACGTAGACCGTAGAAACATAACTCAGCTACTCCTGGAAGGTGATGTTGAAGCCCAGGATGTAAGAGGAGCCTCTCTAGGTTGCAGGAAGAGTGACCCGGACCTGGGAGACAGCCAGGATTGCCCCTTCTGCCCTGCTACTGGGGCAAAGGGGACAGGGAGGAGGAGGAGGCAGGGACGCCAAGGGAACAGGCAGTGGAGGATGGGATCCCTTTCCTCTGAGCCAAGGGACATGCACAGCTGTCAGTGCGAAGGTGGAGATAGGTAAAGGACAGGCTGGCTTCGCTCTCTTCCCAGAGCAACCGCAGCTGAGTCAAAACAAGCACAGCCAGAAACATGAAACCCTGAAACCCCGCCCCCGCGCACTCGCTCACATATATACACACATCATAATTCATGCTACATCAAAGCAGTGATTACCACAGCTTCCTGGCTGTCTATTTCTGTTTATTTATGTTGCACTACATATTTTAATGCTATTCTCATGCAGCGGCTCAGCTGCCACTGTTCTGCATTTGGGTGGGGAAGAAAACCAAACCAACAAATGGCTGTAACATACAGTATGTTGTCCCCTGGGAACAAAGGATAAACAAATGCTCAGCATCTTCCAGGGAGCAGTGATTCAGAGTTATTAATAGCATGACTCCCCCTCCCCATTTCAGTCTTGCTCATGGCTACACACCTCAGCAAGGAATGGGAGGGGTGGCAGTGGGTAGGGGAGAAGGGCTGGAGATGTTTCTGAAGTGACCTGTTAAGCCCAGCTGGCTTCAGAAGAGTCCTTACATCATCCTCTGTAATCATGTCTAGCTCTGGACTGCTGCAGAGTAGTAGATGGGAGGGGGAGGGCAAAGGTTTGACATCGGCCTGAGGACCACCAAATTCATGTCTTCCTTGAAGCTTGGTTCGAGCTAATGGTACGAGATCACCTACTAAAAACACTGCCTGCCACAAGGTCACAGCTCATTCCCTCTTCTCCCCGTCCTCATAAGGTAAGAACAGGGGGACTTGACTTTATTAATTTATTTAAGGAAATGACAGTCAGCTCAGACTAAGTTGAATGTACAAGATTTATTTCTCCTTGCTGTCAACCTTACTATCATTTCCCCTTGAAGCCTGAGTTCTCATTACCATTACTCTCCTTGCAAAATGCAAGTCATTTTGTTTATGCCATGGGAAAAATATATAATCTCTTTAAGTGCATTGACAGTATCAACATAAAACAAATAATACTGAACAGGCAGCAAAAACAGAAGCCATTGTGCCAACAGTCCCTGCTGTGAGAGACACACAGACCGCTGCTGTGCACCTCCTGCTGTACCCTACTGTGTAGGAGTGACACTTCTAAAAGGCTTTTTTTACATCCCTTAATAATCCAGCTATCCTTGTGAGCTCACTGCGGGCACCATGCTATAAGCAGAGCTTTTGCTGTAATAAACTGCTCTTTTATACACCCAGTGATAGTGTCCATGAAACATACTGCAAATATATCCAGGATCCCAAAGCCCTCACTGAACAGGGAAGGGAAAGTGAAGCTGTGCCCTTGGTGCCAGGTTACCTTGGCCCTTAACTACAAAAAAGAAAGAAATATCATCTTTCCTATACTCTGTTCACAAAATTTTTTCTAAAGGGGACTTCAGCTCAGAACAAAGGGTCTGACAGTTTGTGAGAGGTCTCTGTCCAGAAGAAATAACACAAATAAAAAACTGTTATTGATGGAATAAAGCTGCAGATGCTGCTGGAGGGAGTCACACCTCAACCAGAGAGCTGAGAATGAAGGGCCCCATACCTCATCATGAACTTCTTGTCACCCAGTCCCTCCGTCCACCCTGTTCACAGAAATTGTTGCAACAAGAAAGGATCGCCTGAAAGGGCTAAGACCTGCATCATTTTTTTTTTCCAAGCTACTACAGAGACATGTATGTTCCTAATTTTACAGAGTTGCTGAACTTCATTAGTTTATAAGCATCTATATGGCTACTTTTATACATATTTATACACATGCACACACAATGGCAAGGACATCACAAATTTTAACCTCATGCAGAGATATAAAAGGAACCTCTACTCATGCTGGTAAGACTCTAGATTTACGGGGTAAGGAGTGACAAAGTGTCTGGAGTGACAAAGTGTCTGGATGGGATAACCTACACAGAGTTAAGTTTCCTACACGTCCCCTGCTCTATCTCCACACTTCTGCCTCACCAAGTCCCCATCCCATTCCTCCAAAGATGTGAAAGGCTTCCAAAGAAAGAAGGAGAAAAGTCCTCATGCGAAAGTTTGTGTGACAGCACTAAGCAGGGGAACTACAACAGAGCTCAAATATCAGGGAGCCTGCAGGGAAAGTGGCTATGAGGACTGAGGAGAGGGACACTGATGGTCCCCTCTTGCCAAGTCTGGACTATACCTGAAGAGGGGAAGTAAAATAGATGGTGACCACTGTGTGGAACAAACCTCCAGAAGAAGCACTTGAGAGGAGCACTTCTGAGCCTTCCAAATGCCCTCAAGGGCAGCTCTGGAGTGTGGGTAGAATAGGGTTTGCACTGGTTCTTGCCAGGACTGAGTTTCATGGGCCAGTTAATCCCAGACGGCATGTGCTAGCTGAGGTGGGATGGTAACACAATCCACATGGAGGGATTTCATACAGAGAAAAAAATGTTGCTGCTATGCTGTAGCATTAGTAATGGGTATTTTTAGCCCCCAGGCTCGTTGCACATGGGCAGCAGCCACAGCAGTGAGGAGCATGTGGTAAGAGCCCCAAGGAAGCTGAGGCGACCAGGTCAGTAACGCAGGCCTTCAGCAACAAAAATAAAGTTCTTAGGGCTGTGTTTCGCTGGAAGAAGACAAGAGCTAAAAAGATTTGGTGGCCATAGGTAGTGCCTCTTGTTTCAGAAATTTAGTTGTAGACTATCTTTTTTTAATGTTCCATTTACAATCTGCAGGTATAGTTCTCATGTCAACAAAAGCTATGGGGCTGAGTAAGCTGTCCTTGTGTTTTTTCAACTGACCTGCACCCACTCACCAAAGAAATTAGAAGCATCTTAGGTAGCTCTTTTACTATGTTGACATGTTCTGCTGCTGCTGCAAAACAAAAAATGTTTCTTTCATCCTCAGGTTAAAGTTGAGGTGTATAAGAGATGGTTTTATTATTTTTGTTCTATTGACAAATCAGAAAAATACCATTCTGATTACAGTAAATTATTTTGAGTTTCTTGATGAGGTAATTCAGATCAAAATATTCAACCCAAAATGCTTCAATCTCCAGGTATTTAGTTCCCTTGTTAAACTTTGTTTCCTTCTCATTTAGGTTACTTTTGAAATGAAAAATGCTATTTTGACACAAAAGGTCCAAAAGTTTCATTTGGTAAATGTCAAAACAAAGCAATTTCATGGGCTATTTTTTACGTAGTATTCCATTAAAGACTGCTGAAACAAGAAGTTTCAAACTTTTTAAGATTGTTCCTTGTCATGACATTTTTGGGGGTTTTTTGATAGAAACTCCATTTCAGGAGAATTACATCTCCTAAGTACTTTTCTAATCCTAAATAGATTGTAAAGCAAATGGAAAGCAGAAGAACAAAATTAGAACATCAGTCCACTTCACCCAGCTAAGCTGTGGTCTTTTCTTGCCACATGAAAGGACCCCCTGAGAGCAAGCAATAGGGATTAGTTGTCCTTGACAGATATTGTTCTTTTTTGAAGAAAGGCAAGTTCTCAAGAAGAAGGGAACTATGCAAGGGCTGAATTGGTGAGGCTGGTCATATTACTTTGTAGGACAATCCTGAAATCAGCAGGAAAGTGCTGCATCTAGAAATATTTCTGTCCTTTATCCCCATGACCGATTACACAGGCTTTGCAGGCTGTGCAGGCAATGGCACTCCTGTCACAGGGAAGGTGTCTCCATTTTTACAGAGATTTGTTTGCTGTGTCAAGACCCTGCAGCACAATACGAGCTACCTCTCAAATCCAGACTTGCAGCACTTTACCGTAAGGAGTGAAGTAATCTGGAGTCCTGACATGACAATCCATATTCTGTACTCTGTACATAAAATGTTTTGTTGTTTACAGCAGGAGAAAATAGGTGTATGAACATTATCCTGTAGCCAAGACCTTTTAGTGACTTCCAGTGAGGAAAATTTATGATTAGAGATAATCATAAATGGCTGCCCGTTACTGAGTCCTCTCTCCTACCTGTCCCATTCTATCCCCACCTGACACACATCCCAGCAGTGATTAAACAATGGAAATTAATCACATCTCGTGAAAGAGAAGTGGGCCTGTAGTTTCCCCTTTCTGTCTGACAGAATTATACAATCAACTTCAGAAATAATTTGTGATTTCCCTTTTGACAAGCTTTTGGCCGAGTAAGCCACTGTTGCCATGCAGGCAAATCCAAAACTATTCCCTCGACTTCATCCTTCAGCTTCAAAGGTGCAGGCGATGCATTCCCTGAATGTGGCATATCACAAACTAATCCTGGGAAAAGTCACAGCGATTTCATCTTAGACGATCATGGATTTCTTGCTGACCTGAAAACCTGAGTAAGGACCCGTGTCTTTCACAATTCAGAAAATTTCACATCTTCAAGGAAGGGGGAAAAATGAAAATCCAGAGCGGCAAGAAGACACTTAAAAATTCTTCTGCAATAAAATTAACACTGATCAAAAAAAAAAAAAATCCCCATTCCACCCTCCCTCTCTCTACCCCCAGTGTCCCATTATGAGGCACTTATCCTTCATTTCAAGAAAATCTTTTTGGGGAAGGGTGCAGGGCGAGTGCCCCATTCTGGAGGTTGTGCCTGCATGGCAGCAGGGCTTGGCTTTGTATTTGCTCCCTAAAGCACCCCTGCAGCAGCCACCTCATCCATGCATCTCATTATGGCACAATTAATTAATGAATTAATTATGTGCTGCTAGCTACCGATCAGCATCGAGTGGGGTGTGCAAGCAGCTTGGGGGGCTCACAAAGTGGAAACATCTCCGTGTCTGCTCGCAACTCAGCCAGCATCTCACTCTTACAGCTATCCTGACTGCAGCAATGTCCTACAGCATGAAAACTTCCCTAGAAGTTACTGGCAAGATGAGAAAAAGAAGAAAAATAAAAGGAAGAAAAGAAAAAAAGAAAGAAGGGAAGGGAAGGGAAGGGAAGGGAAGGGAAAAGAGAATCCCAAAAGCAAATGCAAAAGCTGATAACAAAGATGAGTTCATCTGGAATCCAATAAATAGGTGTAAATTAAACATTAAAACTTTTATGTAAGGAAATTTAAATAAAGTTTTTATTAATGGAAAAGACTGGAGTCCATTATTTCCCTAATGTCTATCAAACAAAATTAACTATCCCATTCTTTTCCCTTTAATGTGATTAGTAGGGGTTACTTTAAAGGTTAATTTTTTGCCCCTTTTCAGGTGGTTTACACAGAATAATCACAACTGCCATTTCACCATGGTGGCAGGCTCCTCACAGAGGCTGCCCTGAGAAATGTCCTTCTTTCCTCTGAGAAACAGAAGGATTCACAAACTATTAGTGCTCAGACTACCAGGTCAGAGTCATACTCTGCTGTCAATGTACTGTGTGGTCTTTAGTAAGTAATTTATTATTGAAAATTTAGTATAAAATTGCCACTGGGATGTGTATTTCTCCTCTAAATCAGGTGTGGATGTGCTGACTTACCTTCAAAACTTTCCTTTATAGCAGAAAAGTATTCAAACACTAATCCAAAAGATGCACAGGGAGAGGGAAGGAGGGGAGAGGATATAGGAGGGTAGAGGAGTGTAAAGGAGAGGCTCATCTTGTCCTCTCTTATAGAATCATGGCACAGTTTAGGTTGTATGGGGCTTGGAGGTCTCCAGTCCAAACTCCACTGAAGCATGGGTAAGTTTAAAGCAGGTTGCTGAGACCTGTCCAGTTGAATTTTGGCTGTCCCAGAACAGAAAGTGCACAGCCTTGGTGGGCACTTGCTTCACTGTTGAACTACTCTCACATTTCTCTTTTTATCCCCATACTCAGCCAGAAATTTCTTACTGTGACTTGATGCAAACACAACTATCACTTTTCTCTGAAGCAGCAGCAGCCACACAGCAAGGCAGCAAAGCCCCATGCTCTGATACTGTCTTTCCTGAACCGCCTCCCTAGATAACGTAAGCAAGCCCTTGGAAAGCCAGTGTGCTGAAGTATCATTTTGATCTGGATGGTTATGTGTGACAGCGAAGGCTGGTCCTTCAGAGAGGTTGGGGATTCACAATAATCCTCTCAGATCAGTTCCAAGAGAGCACCCAAAGGCTTATTTCCAACAAGGAACCTGAGGCAGGCAGACCCTATCCCAGGGTGCCACCTGCTTCCTCAGCCCTTTTGAGAATCCACTGGGCTCCTTGGCTAGAAGTCTCTTGGGAAAGAAACAGCATTACTTCATTCTCAAGAGGCTTGAACATTGTGCCTAGCTGTGGCCTTTATCAGCCACAGCTCTTTATAAAGTTATTGTTCACATACTGTAACTAATTCCCTTTGCTCAGTTTCGCAGCAAATACAGCTTCTTGAATACTTGTTATGTCAACTCTGTGGATGCACATAAGGGAAAAAAACACATGGATGGATGGTAGGTAAATTAAAAATGAGAGCTACTCAGCAGCTGCTCTGGACATGTGTAGGCATTTCTGTGTGGTGTCTGTTTTTGCTGGCAAAGTAGGAAACTGTCCTAACATACTAAACATACTAAAGGTTATGAAAATGCACATGGACAGGGGCATGATATTTTGAAGAGTGTCTTGACCCAAACCTGTGATTAAACAAAAAGGAAACAGCGCTTGAAAACCAAGTAAAGGATCACTAAGATATTCAGGAACTTGGAGGGAGAAATCTGCTTTCACTTTTCTGGGCATTTTGCCTGACAAATTATGAGCTTATTTGTGGTGCCAAATGCTTTGCTTGTGTCTCAAAAAAATACAGGAACTGCTGTTTTTTGTTTTGTTGTTTTTTTTTTCCAGTGGAAGAGAGAAATTGTTAATGATCCCAAAGGTTAAGAAATTGGCACAGTCAGAAGCCAGCATGCCTTTATTTATTCATTAACTGGGCTCTATGTGGGCTCCCAATATGCAGAATTCCCCACTTGACTGCTCACCTTCTCCAGAGGCTTCTCTGCATTTGCCTGTGTGTACACACAGGTGTCACCCTGTGTATAAAGGAATATTAGATTGCAGTCAGAGATACTAGGCCAAAACTATAATGTGGTTCAGCCATAGGCAGTTGTTCCAAACCAAGCATGTTTGTTTGTTTTTTTGTTTGAGCTAAACCAAACCCTGAATTGCACCACATACCCAAAGTACTTCAGAGTTGTTCAGTTTAAGCACAGGCTCTATGTTTATATATCTGTATCTCCTAGATCTGTATAGAGGTGGTGTGGTCAGTGCCAGTGGCCACCCAACCTGTGTTCCCCAATATGCCAGCAACTAATCCCAAGGGAGTGGAGTGAGAGACGGCTGCCCACAGTTGTCCTTACAGAGGACCTTGGGTCTCAGGGTCTTTTATGTCAGAGTTTATAGCACAAGGGATTCAGCTTCAGAAAGGACTGTATGAAACTCAAAATTGAAGACCTCCCTATTTAGCATTTTGCTGTCTATGAAGCCACAGGATGCCCCAGCGCACTTGGAAAACCTCTTTCCAGATCATCAGGACCAGCCCTGATCCTCCTAAAAAGCAAAGAGGAGTCCACTCCTGCTGCTCTTGTGTCACCTCTGTTTTGGCATGTGCAATGCCTGGAGCAGGTGGGAAGGCTCAGAAGAAGCACAGCTACTTCTCCCTTTCTGCCCTGATTTTAATCTGCTGCTTCTGTTGAAGGGGGTCTCTCTGAAGCGTGAAAGTGTGCGCAGGAACCCTTTGGAGGAGCTTAACCTCAGTCCTCCCATACAAAATGGAGAAGACCTGCTGGACCAGGTCAACCATATATCTCCAGTTTTCAGAGATTTTGTTAGAGGGGAGGTGAGTGCATCAGTTTAGAAAATTCTATCTATTGAGAGCAGAAGGTATTACCTACTTAGCCAATTAGGTGTAATGAATTTTCCTCTACAGTGGTAACCAGAGAAATTAAGAATCAACTCTGCCTAATTTTCCATTCAAACTTCTCTCCAAGGAAGCACACAAGGGGAAAAATGGAAGAAATTACAATAAACTTTATCCTAAGCATTGTAAGCCTTGCCCCTACTATACTTGTCTACTTTCCATTTCTGTTTAATTTAAAGTATTCATCCTTCAAATTAAAAAAATAAAAAAATTAAAAGGGGATATGGAGAAAACTCATTAAAAATACACATGAAATTTCAGTCCTCGTTTGTGGAACCAAGTACAGAAAATGAAAAGGTGTTCTGGTAGAGAAAGAAATGCATTTATTGAGGTCTCATGCTGTAGCAGTGCACGAAGGCCTTTAATGAGAGCATGTCCCAGTATGCTAAGTAGTCCTTATCTACACAGTAAGTTATGTTTTGTGACACTTTCTGAAATCTAAACACACAGGGACAAAGCACAGTAGCTTTCCTTTTACCAGCAGGAAAAGTAATGCACCGAGATCAGGCCTCATACCTCAAAGCTGAGGGTGAAACAACTTTAAAACTCTTGTTTAGTCTGGCTTACCCCCGTTCTGCAGATCTAGGAGCCCAGTGCCCATCTCCTCAGGTACATGCCAGCACCTAATTAGATGCCAACTCACTCATCCTCTTGCATATATCACCTGTACACTATACACCAGGACACGGAGTTTGCTATCTGAAAAGCCTCTAGCATTCAGTTTGTGGTAGATAAGTAATAATAGCATTAATGGATTAAAATATTAACATAAAACACTAACTGCTGTAATTTCTTCTTTGTATGATTCCAGCTAATAGCATCTTCTTTTCTTGAAGGGAGACTGCTTTGAAAGGATCAAGAGCAAGCAGCTCTGCAAAAGTGGGAGGAAAGGACATTTATATAACAATAAGCCTTTTCCCTCTTAATTTTTTCAGTTGGCTGCACAGTCTTCTCTGATCTTTTGCTGACATCTCTTAATAAAAACATTAAAAGGATAAGCATAGGCAGCTCCATTTCCAGTGATAGGAAATAGTGATAGGTGGGTATGAGGCCAATGAGAAACTTCATTTCATAAAACCTCCCTGCTGAAATCTGCCCTACCTCAGCGTTTATCAGCTTCTCAGTATTTATTGTCTAGTTAAAATGGAAATAGCCAATCTTCAGCTCTTAGTTATCAAGCCATGTGGATGACAATGTCAACTGACACTGGTTTTCATAAGCTAAACAAGCTGCCCTGGGGGTAAGCAGCAATGAGACCAATCAGATTTGGTGATTAATATTTCCTGCTTCAGAAATTATAAAGACACACATGCAGTTGAAATTAAACTTCACTGGCAAAGATGAATTGAGAGAACAGCTGGACAAACATCACATTTCTGAATGAGGGACCAGTAGCTCAATTCTTAAGTGGTATTTTCCATCAAGTTTTCTGGTGGTGTTACAGAGACAGAGCGTTAAAAACTAGAAAACAGAACTGCCAAATCTATTCCCTGAGCCATTAAAAAAACCCCAGAGAACAAGAAGCAGGTCTTCTCTTAGTGTTTGCACAGTAATTGTTTGCATCACCTCCCGCCAAAAATTCTTCCTCTCTCCTTTCAGCTTGGATGTGTTCTTTAGGATTCCTGCAGCGTTCCCAGTGTGGCTCTGAGAAATATCACACTCTCTTATCCTGTATTTTTATTCCTGTCACCCACCAGCAGTTTTCATTTCACTTTGCTTGCCTGGCCACCTGAAGGAAATGCTTACAGTCTTTCAAACCAGGCGGCTCACAGTGTTTGACTGTGAAGGTGTTACATCACTGCTAAACCAGTGCACCATCAAAACAGAGCAATCCAGCTAATGAACAAGCAAGCTCCACATGCTGGGTTCATGCCGGTGACTTTAGTATGCTAATGCTGGATATAACAGAGATTTTCACTTGCTTTACTTTTCCTTTATTCGTGTATAAAACTCTCTTAGCTTTTTTTTACTTGGTCCTTGTATAAATGAGAAGGAATGCTGTGGCTCTCAGTTTCAAGAACTATTG